CTCTGTCTCTCCTCTCTGTATATCTGACTTTCCAATAAATAAATAAATCTTAAAGAAAAAAAAAAGAAATCTATGATTTATTTTTAGTATCCAAATTGTTAATTAGGTAAACTCATTACAAGCTAAGTCACATCTACAACTGAGTTTGTTACTTACATGATTATATTTAGGGGGACAGAGTTACGGAGAGGTAGAGAGATGTTCCATCTGCTGGTTCACTCCACAAATGGCTGCAATGACTAGGCCAAAGCACGAGCTTCAGGTCTCTTCTGTGGGTTACAGGGGTCCCAGCACCTGGGCCAGCTCTGGCTGCTTTTCCAGGCATATTAGCAAGGAGCTGGATTGGAAGTGGAGCAGCTAGGTCTCAGAGCAGTGCTCAGGTGCAATGCTGGTGCTGCAGGCCGCAGCTTCCCACGCACGCTGCAGGCCCGCTGTGCATCTGCTGCTGTAAACACTCTGATGACATGGAAGGTTGAACAAGCAGAGCCTGTCCCTCCTGTGCCTGCACGTGTACATGACACACACTGAGGAATTTCTGCGGGAAAAATGCAAACGTCTCTTCCTCTTACACCGGAATTATAATTATTTTGAGAATGCTACTGCAAGAAATTCACTTGCAATAAAGCATGTGACCTTAAGAAAAACACACAGAGTGTGTATCCTGTCACCTCCCTGACTGTCACTTCCAAAATCTCCATTGTGAGGCTCTGTGGCCTCACTGAGGCGCCGTTTTCCCTTTTGGGGAAGACAAGGGCTCAGGCGTTCTTAGGCTTTCCATGGTGCTTCACTGTGAAATCCAACTTTCTTTCGGAAACAAAAAAGCCTCAAACAATGTTTGGGAGGTCCTTTCAATGACAATACACATTTTTCTAAACCAAGAAAAAGCACAGTGAATTTTACGTAACCAAGGCTGCTGCTCTAGCTGTTGATATGACCAAAGTGAGCCAAGCCTCAGATCACCAAGCGCCCATTTAAGTCTACCTTCCTGCAGCCCTGGCTCTCAAGGGCAAGGATTTCAACTCCTAACAGAAGCTAAGGCCACAGTATGGAATCCATAAAAGTGCAGCCCAGCGTCTGCTCCTGTGGGGGTGGCTGGAAGGCTAAATTCAGAGTGTTTACCATCAGGGCCTCAAACTTCCCCTTCCGCTGCCTTCCCTAAGGCTGTGGCGAACCCGGACCCGAAGCCACAAAGTGCAGGGTCATCTCCTGACTGTCACCCACTAGCCCACAGCCACTCAAGCACCAGCTATGCTCACAGGCTCACCGCTCTTGTCGGGAATGGTCTTCTCTTCCCTGGACCGTTTCAACCATCACGGTTAGGGGGTCCCTGGAGGGCCTTCCTCCCTCTGACCCCTCAACTATATTGCTGCCAGGGTGATCACATCACAATGAAAACCTTACTTCACATAGCTCCACGACACAGCACAGCAGCTTTCACTGCACGCTCAGGTCCAGGGTCTCAGGCGCCAGGCTGCACCCACCGTGCCCTCCTGCTCCTTGCTGCTTGCCCTGCCCTGAAATGCCTCTGCCACGTCTGTCTGCTGATCGGCCGTCATTTCTCTCCAGTCCGTGAAGCTTCCTTGCAGGAAGTCTCTACTGACGCCTGCTCCTCTCTTGCGGAATCAGTTCCAGGTAATTGTCTTTTGGGAAAATCTACTTGCATTCCAAGCTGTAGATATGCTCCTGGTTACACATACACACACATACATTTTTCTATATAATTAAAGGGCGGATAATAACATCACTAACCACCAATAAGCACTGAATGAATGAAGTGCTGATTTTTATTCTCATGTAGTTAACGATTACTGTGGACATACATAATTTGGAGGTACAGGTTTTTACTGTGGCCTGCACCATGACAGATGGGAACTCCTTTTCTGAAAACAAAACTTGGAAATTGCAAGCCTTCCAGTACTGAGGTAAAATACAACCAGTCTGTATCATAATCTTAAGAAGGTACATTATGGGCCAGTGCTGTGGTGCAGTGGGATAAGCTGCTGCCAGGGGCTCGGCCTACAACGCCAGCATCCCATGAGCACGCACTCACATCCCAGTCACTCCACTCCCAATCCAGCTCCCTGCAAACGCACCTGGGAGAGCAGTGGAAGATGGCCCAAGCTCCTGCCTGTGTCCCTGGCATTCATCTGGGAATGTTACCCTCTACATCAGCTAGGGTTGATATTAACAGCTCCTGGCTTCAGCCTGGAGCAGACCCAATCACTGTGGCCATATGGGGAGTGAACCAGTGGATGGAAGATACCTCTCTCTTTCCTTCTCTTCCCTTCTCTCTCTCTCTCTCCATAACTCTTTAAAAAAAATTTTTTTTTAAAGAAGGGATACTGTGTTTTCCGTCCATTTTCTTCAGTGAGAGAGATTCCGCTGCGGGATTTGTGTTGGTTCATGTCTTTCATCAACTGGAAAGCAGAGTGTGGAGTTGTGGAGTTGCTTTTTGTCACTCAGCTGAGTCACATGGTCACAGGGAGTAGGATGAACACGGCCATGCACTCAGGTCCTTGTCCCTGCTCCACAGCCAGGACCAGCCCTACATGAGGGACAGCAGTACCTCAAGTCACACACTTTAGCAAGGGGCTGCTAACTCAGCATCCATGTCTAAGGCTAGCAGTTCCGGACATGTGACGACTTTGTTAAACAAACAGAAACATATGCTTATCTTTCGAATGACATCCACTCCTCCATTTAGTCAATTTATAAATTATATTATTTGTGCTACTTTGAAATTTAAATCTTATTAGAAGATAAGCACCAAACCTATTAAAATAAGAATTATAAAAATCACTGTGGCTCCCCACAGCAGTGATCTGCACATCCTGTAGGCTGGTGAACACTACTAAGTGCATGAAGCTAAATCAGTCACTGGCGTAAATAATCAAAGTAGACATTTTTCACGCCTAAAGGACTGTGTAGGCACCAGGGGAGTTAACCAACAGAGCAGGGAGGTAACAGCCGCAGGCAGTGTCCTCTGGCCCACAGACGCTTCCAATGCTGCACTTTCTTTTATTATTTTTAGTTTGAACCTTGCCCGTTTTAAAGGGGAAATTCCCAAATTCATGGTCAGCACTTCTTCGTTTTCCTCTATATTAGCAGGGGTTGAGTAAGACTTCTTTTTTTTTTTTTTTAAAGAGGTATTGATTTTTATTTCAAAGGCAGATTTTATAGAGAAAGGGAAAGACAAAAAAAGATAGATCTTCCATCTGCTGGTTCACTCCCCAGCTGACTGCAATAACTGGAGCTGAGCTGATCTGAAACCAGGAGCCAGGAACTTCTTCCAGGTCTCCCAAGTGGGTGCGGGGTCCCAAGGCTTTGGTCCATCCTCCACTGCTTTCCCAGGCCACAAGCAGGGAGCTGAAAGGTAGTGGAGCAGCCGGGAACTGAACCCCTGTGAGATGTCTGCACTTGTAGGCACAGGGTTAGCCTAAAGAACCCTGGTGCTGGCGGCTGATTAAGGTTTATAAAACTTTCCATTTATCTGATGTTCTTAGTCACAGACATGCCACTTAATTCTTACGTAGTAGCTCTCAAGCACTTTCTAGGTCACAGAAGAACCTGTCACAGTTCTGCACGAAGGATTCAAACAGTACCACTCCCAAATGCTTACACAAACCAATGAATCTACTTTCACTTACTCACAGGAATCATGTTAAAACAAGCATATGTTCAAAGCACTAAAGTTGCCAAAAAAATTATTTTGAAGACACTAAGAAATTGGATCTTGGATATTTCATACGAAGTATTTCAAATATGACGAATTTTTTTTTAAAAAAACAACAGTGAGAATTGTAGCATTGGCTAAGATGTTTTATAGCCTTCTAAAACTATTTTCATTTCCAAAGATATTTAAAACTATGGAAGCTGTTTAAACAGTACTGGAATCGTATAGAATTCTAGCAGATGTCTTCCAATCTTCGTACATATTCTAAAATTTACAGCTTGAGCAGGCCGTCCAATTGACAAACCCATTGCAAAGATGGAAAGGTCTTAAAAACTACTTCAAGGTCTTAAAGGCACAGCTAATAGGACCACTTTGTTCTCCCTGATGTCATCTCCCTCTGAAAATTCCTCAGGGCAGAGAGACTGGGAAGATTAATCCTTATCAAACACAAAGGGCACTGTAATCTGAGTCAGCATTAGATTACAAAGGAAGGTCAAGGGCAAGCAGTCACTTCCTAAGCCCGTGGCTGTGATTCTCCTGGGACCTTCCCTGTCCTGCAGGGCTGTCCCAGTCTCTCAGGCAAAGGTAAAAGGTAAATAAGGAACACTAAGAAACCATTGTGTTAGGACAAACAATGGCTCCAACTCCTTTCCGGTTAAGGGAACCAAGGGGCAGACAAGCATCATGGCTGAGGGAAGGTTCTGGGAGAGGCACAGCTCAGAACAGCTCCATGAACCACTTAGAAAAAGCACCTTCAGTTCAGGGTAGGAATGACCACACTAATAATGGCTGAGCTTTCCAAGGTATTGTGCTTTTTCCAAGAGTCCATATTTATTAAATAAAAATGGAATGTAAATCCGCTTTCTCATTTAACCTGATAATCCGTCTAAAAACCAATGTTTTATCAAATACTTTCTAGATGTCACAGTCTATTTAGCATTATGTTCCTCTAAGTGTTTCTACTGTTTTATCATGTACAACCCTATATTTATAGTCATGCTATCTTAAATGAATGTTTAAGAATCACTACAATTTCTGTAATATGGATAAAATTGAAAGCTTTGTTTTTATTACTGATCAGGATAAGACGTGATATATGTGACCTCGAATGTTCTCATAAGAGGTTCAAGGACAAAGAACACTAAACAAGCACCAGCATCTTTTCTAAAGGTGTAGGGAAGTGAGAGCTGGGGGGCAGGGTGGCAAGTAAGAATGAAAGGTCCTCAGTCTACGGGCGTACAGTTCTTCCTCCCTCTCCAGGGCCCTCCCAGCCGCCTGTAACAATGAGGATGCTGGCTAGAGACTAGCAGATGGGATCTGACCGTACCTTCATGGGTAGGCTCTGGGTCAGGTGTGAGTGAGATGTCATCCAGCTCTCGCAGACAGAGCCATTCTCCATCCATAGACACTCGGAATTTGCAAAGGTAGATGGTCTCCATGGCAGCCTGTGTGATCTTGTCAGTGGTGGGGGTTGGCATGTCGGTCGGAGGCGTCAGGGCAGACATGATGACTCAGCTGGGACCACAACACACTCACGCGCACACACACACCACAAAAATAAAGAAGACCTCCTTATCAAAAACCCCCAACCCAAAGCTCTCAAAACAAGGCTTTTAGGAACAGGGGCAAGGGGAGGTTAAAAAAAAAAAAAGCAATAAACAAACCAGGAAAAATCCCCCACCGTTTAGGAACCAACTGCTCAAGCCAATTCTGCACTCTCTTGGAGACAGTTCCTACCACATCGTGAAATTAGACGATGCTGCTTCTCCTCTGAGCTCCCCGCCCTGCCCCTTCTCCGCAGCCGAGCAACAGCCTTGAAATCCGGCACAGCTGATGCCGCCCTAGCTGGCTCTAAAAACTGGCCTTAGCATGAAGAAGTGGGAAAAAAAAATCCTCTTTCTCTGTGCAGGAAAAAATAAAAAGAAAAGCTGAACAAAAAACTAAAACTTGTATTTCCGATGTAGATTTAAAAAAAAGAAGAAGAAGAATCCTGAATTGCAGAGATGGCTTGCAGGGTCTGCTCAGCCGAGCTGGGATGCTGAGTTCTGATAGGGCTGGCTCTGCGCAGTGAGCAGGGTGTTGACCAAAATGGCTGACTAATGAACTGAACTGAAAATCCAGGCTCATGTGACCAGCTGCTCTGGACGTCGGGCGAGCAATTCCCAGGATGCTTTTATAGATGCTGCTGCTGATGCGGGGAGAGCAATTAGGCTGCTCCCTCTCATCCCGCACAGCCCACTTCCAGACTGTGCTAGTCAAGCTGTGATCAGACATAACACAATGCACGTATCCTCATCAATCGCCCTCGCTATGGAACACAAGGGCTGAATAACGCGAGGACAATGAACACTGGGCAAGGCTCCACAGCCGAGATGCTCAAAGAGGCAGGCAGAGAAACTGAACAAGTGCATATTTTACCTCAGTGTTTTATCTTTACATGTATTGCTGTTAAGTTTTTATTCTATGCCAAAAGTGGTGTTTTAAGGAAAGCTAGGCCTATTTTCAATTTAAATATTTTATTCTCATTTAAGAGTTCCATGTCCAAGGCATAAAGACCTGACTTTTTAGACTGGGAAGAAATGCAGGAAACACATATGAAGCTGAAAAAAATAAAATAAAATTCCTCCTGTTTAATGGTAATCTCTCCCCTCTTTAAAAATACTAACCATAATGTTTTTAAGCAAAAGATAAAATCATGTTATTTTTTTTTAAATCCTCCCATCCTGGTGCATACTGAAGACTCATTATCATATTCTCCTGAAACAATAACCGCAGCCCACTCTTGTGATATTAGCTAGTGAGGTCTGTATACCTGGGCAGCAGGACGGAAGGCGCCTGCTTTCTGAGCTCCGGAAACAAGGAGAACACCAGCAAGGATTTTCTTTGTGAAGCTGCTTTAGATCACTGAATGCAAGGAATTTTCCATTTTCTTACCACGTGGTTTTTCTACGGAACAACTGTATTTCTTAAAAGAAAGATTTTATTTATTTACTTGAAGCGTTGCTAAAGAGACAGGAAGAGAGGAAAATGCTTTCCATTCACTGGTTCACTCCCCAAATGGCCACTGATCAGCTCAAAGTCAAGGGTCAGACGCTTCACTGAACTGGGTGCAGGGGCCCAAGGTCGTGGGTCACCGAGTCTTCAACGTGGGTGCAGGGGGCCCAAGGTCGTGGGTCACTGAGTCTTCAACGTGGGTGCAGGGGCCCAAAAACGTGGGTCACTGAGTCTTCAACGTGGGTGCAGGGGCCCAAAAACGTGGGTCATGTGCCTCTGCCTTCCCAGGCAGTTTAGCAGGAGCTGCATCAGAAGTCGAGCAGCTGGGACTTGAACCAGTACCCAAGTGGGATGCTGGTGCTTCAGGTGGAGGCTTAACTTAATGTGCCACAGTGCTGACTCCTGCATGCTCCTTCTGGTGCTGAGGGATAGCATGCTAACCCACTGACATTCCAAATAGGTAACGCTTTGGGTCCCAGCTACTTCACTTCCAATCCAGCTCCTGCTAATGTAAACGAGAGAGCAGTGAAAGACGGCCCACTTGCTTGGGCCCCTGCAGCCATGTGGAAGACCCAGGAGAGGCTCCACGCTTTCAGCTGGAAGGCCCAGCTCCAGCCACTGCCGCCATTTTGGAAGTGAACCAGTGATCCAAGATTTCTCTCTGTAAATCTGTCTTTCAAGTAAAAATAATTTTTTGGAAAGTCAAATACACAGAGAAGAAGAAGCAGAGAGGAAGACCTTCTGTACCCCAGTTCACTCCCCAAGAGGCCTCAATGGCCAGTACTGAGCTGATCTGAAGCCAGGAGCTTCTTCCAGCATGCAGGTGCGGGACCCAAGGTTTTGGGCCATCCTTGACTGCTTTCCTAAGCCACAAGCAAGAAGCTGGATAGGAAATGGGGCTGCCGGGATATGAGCCGGCACTCATATGGGATCCCGGCTCAAGCAAGGTGAGGATTTTAGCTACTAGGCTACTGCACTGGGCCCCAAATTACTTTTTTTTTTTAAGAAACATGCAACTTCAAAAAATAATAATCTAAGACTGTCCCATCATATGGATTCTTATAAGATAGATTGCTGGTGATGGATAATTAACAAGTGACCGAGGTAAACAAAACGCTTCTGGTTTATTTCTCTCCTGTTCTCTCCCGACATCAGGACCCAGAGCCATTCATTCACTCCTCAGTAAATATTCACCGAGAAGGACTCTCTCCATGCCAGGTGGCAAAGCAGGCCGCCAGCACACAGCAGACAGGAGCCTTGTGTCAAGCCATCAGAGCTGCAAAGCCCAACACAGAACACAGGATATCATTCACCACATTCACACGCACTTACAGTTCAATCCCCTTTCAGCCAAACCTATTTCCATCATATGCATTAACCCATAGAATTCATGGTCTCACTTTCTTCCATGCAAGATTCTAAAACATGTTAGGTCATTATTAAAATCTTTATATTACACTGAGCAGTTTCCAGAACCACAACTCCTAAACAGCCCTAGTTACCCATGTGAGCTATGGCAAGCTTTGGACTCACTGAGACAGCCTTTAAATACAGAACAAGGAATACGTGAAGCTTCTAGACGTCCAGCGGCTGCCTGGGATCCAGCACAGCAGTCCTTCCTCATCCAAAGGGAAAATATTTTAAGATCCCAAATGGATGCCAGGAATTGAGGACCGTACTGAACAGTGAACACATGATTTTCCTTCACTATACATTCATATATATAATGAACCTTAACTTTATTTATCTATTTTTTAAAAGCTCATATATTTCTTTTTATTGGACAGTCAGATACATACAGAGGAGGAGAAACAGAGGGGAAGATCTTCCGTCTGAGGTTTCAGTCCCCAATCAGCCTCAACAGCTGGAGCTGCACCGATCCAAAGCCAGGAGCCATGAGCCAGGAATCTCTTCCAAGTCTCCCGCGCAGGTGCGGGTCCCAAGGCTTTGGACCGTCCTCAACTGCTTTCCCAGGCAGTGAGCTGGATGGGAAGTGGGGCCGCTGGGATTAGAACCGGTGCCCATATGGATCCTAGCGCGTGCAAGTTGAGGACTTCAGCTGCTAGGCTACAGTGCCACCCAAAGCTTAACTTTAAATAGGGTGATTAAAGCAAAAAGTGTATGCTGTAATATAAAAGGGACTACGACAAGTCTTTCTCAAGCATCTTACTGGCTGCTATCACTTCTCTTGTGAAGATGAGAAAAACAATGCCCACACCGTCAGCTGGAAGCGACCTAAATGATACGGGCATTTGTGACGCAGGGTTAGGCCACCATAAGGATGATTTGAACACAATGGTTTATCTGGTAATGCAAGGATGGTAAATAAGATATGGATACACTGGACAAACAGATGAGGCACATCTGCAGCAAGACGGCATACGATTTCATCACACTGCTCAGAATGGTGTGAAAGATTAACCCATGAATCACTTATTTCCAGAAATTTTCATTAATCTTTGGACCACAGTGAACTGTAATTTTTGAAAGCAAAACCAGATAGGAGAGGATTACATTGCTTCAACTCAGCCTTGGCAGAAGTCTTAGTAAGCCATTTTCACCAACCAATAAGCATTTATTAACTTTGCAACAGGATTAACTAGGTTAGCAGTTAACATTCCTCCCTCCAAGTGGAAGACACCACGAGGACTGCCCGAAGGAAGAAAACTTCTGGCTAGGACAAAACATCCTTGTTACGCTTGAGCTTTCCATGTCTATCCACCCAGGAGGCATTAACAGCCATTTCAGAGTAACTGAGGGAGGGCAGGAAACCCTGTACTTCTGCCACTGAAATCACACCTGCTCCTCAATAATGCCACTGAGTCTTCAGCGAGAGCAGCTGCTGCGTTACCCGTGAAAACAGTGTTGTTTTAAAATAATTCTAAGGATGGCCTAGTACTGGGCCTGGCGCTGTAGCCTAGTAGCTGAAGTCCTTCCCTTGCATGCACCAGGCTCCCATATGTGCGCTGGTTCATATCCCGACTGTCTCACTTCCCATCCAGCTCCCTGCTTGCGGCCTGGGAAAGCAGTTGAGGACGGTCCAAAGCCTTGGGTCCCTGCACCCGCATGGGAGACCTGGAAGAAGCTCCTGGCTCCGGACCAGCTCAGACCAGCCACTGCAGCCACTTAGGGGGTGAATCAGTGGATGGAAAATCTTCCTCTCTGTCTCTCTCCTCCTCTCTATAAAGCTGACTTCCCAATAAAAATAAATAAAACCTTAAAAAATAAACCCCGATTGCTTGGTTCTGTTTTTACATTTGGGTCGTTACTAAGTAAATGTATCGGCCTCAAACAAGTGAGCATATTAAGCCATCAACAGAAACACACTTTAATTTTTCCTCACAGACACACTGATGACAAGCTGCAGAAAAGCATTTTCTCATTTAATCCCATTCGTCCATAGTGGCACAGACTGGTATCTGTGGCCATAAAACAAAATATCCTGTGTGAATTTACAATCCACAAACAATGCCATGTTCTAGTTGTTCAAGCCCTGAATTTGCCACACTTAAGACTGATTCAGGGCAAAAGGGATTCACATCTCAGTGTTAGAAATGACCTTCTTCAGCAGGTGCTTTGTCCTCAGCTGCTGCTATTAGAAGATACTGACTGATTGGCCAGGCTTAATGGGCCAGAATGGAAAAATCTGCTAAGGTAGCTATCATGAATTTCTGTGTTACTAGGTGCTCTACAAATACCGCACCAAATGCTTATAAGCACACTACAACACAGATAATGACACTTCATTTTCACAAACAAGGACATCGAAGTTCAGCCATGTGACTGAGCCAAATGGTCGAGCCGAGATCCACGGTGCTCCGTCTCCACGCGCGCACGCTCCGTGTTACTCCTCTAGCCAGCAATTCCAGCACACCACCACAATTCTTTCCCCAAGTTAATTTTTACTCAAAGAAAATACAGGAACCAAAACAAAGTAACACAGGCAAGATCCTCATGAAATTTCCTAAAGTGTCAACAAATTAAGATTGGAAGATGAAGGAAAGTTTTTTTATTGGCTTTCCCGCTCCACATCTTAACATTTCACAGTCTCTCCCACTCAGCCTCCTAATCTCTTGTACAATGAATTCAGATGTCTAGGAAGTGGGAATTTCCTGAGAAACCAGAAACAGCCTGGATATTTCTTCAGTAACGTGCTGCTGGGGACGGGAAAGCCAAAATGTCCCCGACCCCGGGAAGGTCCACAGCATGTGGCTCACTCCACAGCTCAGCCCGCGGGAATCTCGGAGCAGGGAAGTGGAGCCAGCACTACCCTGAAGGAGGGCATGCAGCTGAACACCTAAGAAGGGACATGAGGGGACCATGTGGCATGCATCGTCCGCGTTCACAAGGGCAAGGCCATCGCGCTGCAAGGCAAGCGGGTAATGGAGAGGCGGGAGCAGGCACAATAACCCAGCCCACTTACAACTGTACAGAATCAGGGCAGCTGCAGGCCCAGCGGTAAGGTAAGCCTCCAGGACAATTGGGACAGTGAGCTCCCTGCTGTGGTTTCAAGGCCATTTATTGAAATCCCCTGCCAGCCTTCCTTGACTTCAACTATAGAACCTCTGACTTGAGAGTTCAGTCCAACTTCACATTTAACATGACTGATTTTTTTTCCATCTTAGAGAAAATGTTTAAGTAGTTGTCATAACTGTCAACAGTTTTGTGTATCATTCTGCTTGTTTTCTTGCAGCATTGAGACACATTTGCAAAGAGTGGAACTGAAGGTGTTTGCTGAACGTGTGAACACAGCTCGCGGCTGGGTGGGCACGGCTTGGTCTGCAGCACTAGCTCTACAGCTACTGCCTGCTACCCAATATTTTCAGTTTCCATTTTGAAGGCTGTCAACTAATTTTAAAAATTTACCTTATTTATTTGAAAGGTAGAGTTCCAGAGAGGGAGGCGAGAGATGGTCATAACGGCCAATTCCGTCCCCCCTCACTGAGTTCCCCTATATCATTACTATAGTATAGTATACACAGTCGTATGCCCATCATTGCAGGCATGG